TAGGCCCTGGTTTCCAGATGAACAGAATTCATGATAATGGTGGCTTTAGTCTGTGTCCTAGGATAGACAGAAGAGTTTTCTGCCAACGTCCTCCATTAATTCCTCTCGTTCAATACTAAGTGTATTAGATTCCTTATCTTTCTCAGCTTATCTCTTTTAACAGGAAACAACTCTAGCTGATTAGCAGTGACATTTCATACTGGTAGATCTTTTGCTGCCACTGATTTATCTTTAGTTGCAGTACCAGCTTACATCCTGATGCTTTATGCATGTCCTGGTCCAAAAGATAACAGTCAGAGCCACCTGACTAGTCTCTTTAACCAGTCCATGCACACAGCCCTTAAGTCTTGCTGTTCTTGTGCCAGAGGTCATGAGCACTTGTGGCTCTAACCAACAGTTTCTTATTACCTTAGTACAGAATTACCATTTATCTCGTTACAAGCAATGTATCTAATTAATGCTGGAGGTACTAATGTGAGCAGTCTAGCTAAAGAAGAATCTAAAAATGTATTGAAAGTGCTTGAATAGTCTAGTGACTCAATGGAGGATTTTTATTGCAATGCTTTTCTAGTCAGATGTCTTACCTGCAACTTCAAGATATGGCAACTTCAGTAGACTCTCGAAGATTTTTAGAAAATGTTTCCATGGTATGCAATGTCCCTATCTTTGACCAGAGAAAAATGGAAAAAAAACCTCTAATGTCAGTTCACATCAGTATTTTCTTAATGTACGCCACCATTCTAGTGCTCTCCATCACTTTTTTTCACAGAAGTTCACTCTGGGTTGAAAGAGAGTGGGAAGATAACCCTGTAAACCACTAAAAAAAGTCCATGTGACTTTGCTTGTGTTAGAATTAGAAGGATTTCCAGCCTCTCTGTTTTCAGAGAAGAGAAAAATATGCCATCTGCACCTAACCCTTTATTAGTGTTTCAGTCAGCCCGCAGGATTCTTGAGTGCATGGCTTAGTTGAATACATGGAGTCTTATCTACCAAGCAATCATGGGAAAAGAAAGAAGGCAGTATGGTCAATGTGTGTTTCACTACAGCTTTTTTCAACTAACAGATGTGGCCTTAGGAATTGGCAATGATTATATTGCTCTGGTTTGTGCACTAAAGTAAGCCTGGGGAGATAACGAGGAGAAGAAACAGACAAATGCTCTCCAGCTTCCTGGTTTAAAATCTTTCCTGAGCTTTTTTCTCCTGAAGGTTTCCTCTCATTTTTCCTTGTAGTATTTGTTAAATTTCACCTTTAACTTCCCTTGTTGTGATAATATATTTTACCTTCCATAAAAAATAATGCTCTTTGACTTGAATTCCATTGCTTCTCGGCATTTGATACATTCATCTCCAGTATTGTCTATCTACCTTCTGTCTTCCCTTTCTCTTTTAGGGGTCAAGGTAGGGGCTAATGGAGAGGAAGAGATGAACAAAATTCAAGACATCTTATGGGATGTTAAACTCTGGTTTATATGTGTTGATCTCTGTTTGGTAGATTCCTGTATCATGTTGAAACATTGTCCGTTGGTTCTGCTTGATACTCACCCATCTGCCCATGGTGTTGTCACTGCCACCATCTGAAAATGCTTGAACGTGCCAAGTTTCATCATCTGTGATTTGTTGAAGAATGTAAATGTGATTTGTTCTGCCAGCTTTCACAGAATGAATCACAGAATAGTTGGGGTTGGAAGGGACCTCTGGAGATCATCTAGTCCAAGCCCCCTGCCAAAGCAGGGTCACCTACAGCAAGTTGCACAGGATCACATCCGGGCAGGTTTTGAATTATCTCCAGAGAAGGTTGTGGAGTCTCCCTTCCAACCCTGACCATTCTGTGATTCATTCTGTGAAAGCTGGCAGAACAAATCACATTTACATTCTTCATCTTTGCAGTTTGTTAACAAAGACCATTTCCATGAAACCAAATGTTCATTTCATAGTTAAAAAAGAGCTCAACAGACAGTAAGCAGGTTTCTATCACATATGTTACTTTATTTAGTCCCTCCATCATTAATATTTTCTGATTGTGGCAAGTTTACATTGCTATGAACTGTGTTCTGATGGATAGGTTTAAAACAATTTTTTTCATGAGATTGTCCCAACTGCTGAAGCAAGTTATCAGAATGACACATCTTCAAATGTAATTTACACTCATGGTAAATTGCTGGAATAACATTGGTAAGTTGGCATTGTAGGGAACTATAGCTTTGTCTTCATGAACTGTGCTTTTTCTGTTTCGTGAAGAACATGGCCCCTGAAGATAAGCCCATCCACCACTTCCCCCCCACCCCCCTCCATACATAAGGTCTGAGTTTATTGAGAGAAATACACCAAGCAGAAGCAGGGTCTGGGAGATACCATGAAGAGAGTGACCACATTCCTCACTCTAGGAGCTTTATGTTCCTCACATACTTGTGTGATCTGGCATTCAAAGCAGTAGTCAGTCCTTTGACACGTGAAGATGCTAATTAATCCTGACTTCAGTAACAAAGAGAAGGGGGCTGTGGTCTATGCAGAAACTCTTCAATCATCTTCATTAGTCTCAATGTTTAAGTTTCCAATTTTATCCTGGAACTTGGCTAAGACTGTTCTGAACTGATAACCTCAACAGAATATCAAAATGAGTATCTTCTGCTTATGCATCACCTAGAAAACAACACGCCCATTTTCTCCTTTCTGAAAGATGAGAGTTGAAGCCAAGGTCACAGACAGCCTCCCATACAGTTTCAGTGGCCTTTGAATGATCCAGAGTGTTGAGTAGGTTTTTGATGTAGTAAGAGCACCACTGTCCCTTAGGAAGAAGTCTGAAGCCTCCTACAGTGGGGAATAAACACCACTTTATCCCCAAACCGGTCCCTGTCCATAGGCTCCTGTTCTGCAATCTGTGGTTTCATGGGACACACCACTGGCTGGGAACAGCATATAATAACGTTAAGAAATCCGTCTGGCCAAGATTTACATGACATTCGGTAGCTACTGCCATTTTGCCCAGAAATGCAATGCATTAGGGAACTGTACAGTCAGGAAAGAGAAGTCCCTTGTTAAATACATTCATTATTTAGTGTTATTTGACATAGAAATACAGATTATTTACTTTTTATGGTGTTTGCTTTGTTGGAAAATAGCACTCCATTTACATACTTAATCTAGCATTTCATTAATCCTCAATATTTCCTTTCATTTTTTGTTGTTTTCAGCTTTATTATTCTTCCAGATGTTCCAGATGTACTGACTGTAATAGGCAATTAGTATAACATGAGCTGACTGAACTATTTTTATAAGTCAAACTAGAGACTGGGGTTACACCAGTGTGTACTAGCAAATTAAACAGAGCCTCTCTCATCCAGAGGCCAGCTAGTCAAGTCTAGTCACACCTCTGCTATGAAATTATTTTGGCTTCCCAAACAGGGTGCCTTCATCCAGTTTCCTGTTTGGGAATGGTCCCTAGCCTCCCAAGATGTGCCTGATAATTGTTGTGGAGAATTTTGATTCAAGACAGGATCATGCCAGGGCCATGCTAACAAAGTAAAGATGGAGTTCCAGTGCTCACAGCTGTGTCCTGGCACTGTTTAATTCCTTGGTAAAAAAGTAGCCTGTGAAAGACACTCTTTAGTTGTCAGTCATCAGTATCACATAAAGTCCAACAGCCTCTTCTCCTCTACAGGGAATGACGGTGATGTTCTCAGCTCCGCCAGGAGAAAGAGCACATACTAACACCACAGACCAACAAATCCTCTTGGTCCTTCCATTACAAAATGCAGTCTGCTGTTGGTACAGTGATTCAGCCAGCAGTGGAATGGGCTAGGCTTTTTGGTGTCCTGCCTTCAAAGGCAAGGACAGGAGCTTCTTTCCTCATTTTCCATTCTTTTGAAGTGTGAGTCTTACTCCAGCCCAACTAGAGTACCCAACAGAAAGGATCAGAAGTGATACCCACATTTCAGTTCCAGAATTTTCTTCGTGTGCAAGCTCAGTAAAGTCAGTCATTCATAAGTTTTGATTCTGGGAAAATGTATTCCCTTGACTGACTACTCAAGTGTAAAAGACATAAACTAGCTTAATAAGGAAGATAATAAGGATGTAAGAGCAGAACAGAAATTTCTTCAGGTCTGAAAGCTGCTGGTTTATCAGAAGTGAACAGAATCGTTAATGATCACATTTAAATGGCAGGATTTAGCAGAGACACTGCTATGGTAAACTGTAAGACTATATAAGCTTCAATTTGTTTCATTTGAGGGAAAAAAAAGAGCCAGATAGTAGGGTGAATTCCAGTAACATCAGGCCATCTAGTGGACAGCAACTTTTGTCTTCCAGGCTTTGGCCCTAGCTCCTGCTCTATGATTATTTTCTGTAACTTGAGAAATATCTCATTTTTGAATAATGGATGCAATAAACTTATTCTCTAGAAAAGTCACCATGGACAAAAAAAAAGTAGGAGTCAATGTTTATTTTAATAAACATGCAGACTAAGTGGATAAACAACATATATGAATCAGAATTGTACAAAGTTAGAAGAAAAATGAGCATTTAAAATTTAGCTACAAAACTGGAAGAGTCAAAGCACTACCTAGGAAAGCTGAAGCCTTTGCAAAAAAAGTATCTGCAAAAGTTTCTGGGTAAATGAAAGAAAACACTTCACCAGCAAAGAAAACAGAGGCAATGCCTGCACTGAGTTGTGTCCACTAATATCAGGTGACGTTGTCAGAAGATTCGAACTTTAACCGTGGAGACAAATATCTAATGAAGGGCTCGTGTGAAAACCAGCTTGCTGCAGAAACAAGAATGCTCCTGAGAATCCCAAGGAAGTGATTTGCAGGGAGGACAGAAGTGTCAACCCCAACACGCTGTAGCAGAGAGAAGCAGCAAATGACAGAGCACAGCTGAAAAGCCTACTCTGTGCTTTGTTCGCCATCATTAGAACAGGCAGGATGAATGAAATTAAATGAAGAGATTGTGATAAGGCAGTATAAAGCTGTTTTCAGCACTCTTCTCTGTCATGCAGAATTCATTCAGCATGCTCCTGCTTGCTTCATATGCAAGGCACCTCTACTTCTCCTGTAAAAGAAAGGAAGGACATGGACATTGCAGACAGTAAGCTTACCATTATGCACTAAAATCTCTCTGAAGTCCTCAGCTAACAAGTTGCTAACAGAGAAGACACTATAAACATTTGTAGCAGACAAGAAGGCATGATCCGTGAATAACTGTCTTTTAAAAATTACATATTTTATCCATAAAAAGCAAGGTATTTCCAGTACCACTTTTGAATTCTTATATGACCTGATTTGGGTCCAGGTGCCTTGTTAGCCCTGCGTTGCTCATTGGACTCTTCTCTTTACTGTCTAACTTCTGTAGTTTCTGCTAGAATAGGAAGTTGCTTACATGAATGTCATTGATTTTTTAAATCAATTAGACCTTATTGGTGGGAGAAGAAACTGGTGTCTAAATATTAAGCAAAGAAGCAGAGGAGTAGCGACCCTGAAAAAAATGATAGTGCTTAGGTGGAATGGAAATACCAGATAACTCAGCTAATCTCTGCTTATGGCTTATTCAGGAGTAATTACATGGTATTGCACTTACAGGACTGCTTTGCAGAAAGAACATTTGTTGTTATATGTTTTTCCATCAGAGCCGCAAAATGGTTGATAGAGTCTTTCGCAGTAAATAGGTCTTCCTCTCTCTAAACTCTTGTATTCATTGCAGTCTACCTGAAAATACAGTATCATTTTTCTTTGAATCCATCTTTCTCACGTTCTCCAGTCACCTACAGAAATAATGAATATATGAAATTTTTGGACAAAGTTGTCAGCTGCTCTAGAGCAGCACAGTCAATGGGGATCCACCATCTATATTAACTGAGCCTAAGCCTCAAAAAAGAAATGTTCCTTCTGACAGAGACGTGTGTGATGCTACTTGTGTCAGGTACTGAGCACCTTTAGGGACTTCGCTGTCTATCTGACTAAGAATACAGTCACTGGAAAAAAATATTGCCCTTTTTCCATCTACAGAAACATTGAGTCAATATATTTTTCTACCTGATTGCAATTGTCAGTAAATTCAGGTGAGATTAGTTCTCAAGGATGTGAAGGATTTCTGTCTCTTTATTGCACAAGTATCAGCTCTTGATGCTTTTTACACTGCTGAAAGGATCTGCCCAGGCAGAATTAAGTAAAGTCCTATTTAAGAATTAGCATGAAAAGAAATTGTTGAAAACCCCTCACCTGATAGTGGTACGGTATTCATTACAAGCTTATCTGTGAAAATGGGAGTACAAACTAATAAATGACTGAAAGTGCTCTTGTCCTGGTTTTGGAGCTCAGTCTTCTCCTGTCAAGTGAATGTCATTCCTGGTATTTGACAAGCAAGGAGTTCCTTGTGCAGTGCACATATTCTATTTAATGTGCTGTTTGTCATCCTCAAAAGCCCAGGGTTTGCTTGCCTAGGAAATCACCTGTCCTTATAAGTGCCGTTGTAACTAAAATTGGTTGGACTCTTTTTGCTGCTAGTCTAGTGACAATTTGAAGTATATTAGTCTTTGGAGGGATGCTATGACTGGAGATTTTCCTTTCTGAAGATCTAGATAACATAGGTATTATAAATGTACATATTTAAAACAGAACCCAGCCTTGCTGTTCTCTTGTCATGACCTGATTTTTTTCCCTTCATTCCGACTCTTACTGAAGGGCAGGAGTATTACTTCAGCCAAACCCTGGAATTTATTACAGATTATATGATTGGTTTTATGCTGGTCATTGCCCAGGGTCTGCAGGTGGGTGAAGTGCAGAGCTGTGCGTGGTCAGCCCCGTCAGCAGCCCAGCCCCTGTGCCATGGCTCAGCACAGACTGAGAGGTCACCACTGGCAAAAAGCCAATCACTCTTTTGGGTATTATGGGTTTAAATCCAGTCTCCCATTTAAAAAAAAAAAAAAAAGCATATGGGATGTTAGTTTACCTAGGTTTTTCCTTCATTTGGCCCTTTCCCTCTCCGCTAAAGCCCTGGCTGCTCACAGACTGGCAAGCAGGAGGCAGCACGCCTAGCCTCCCTTGCAAAACCAGGTCAGAGACCTGACATAGCTAACAGGTTTCTACAACATAACCCAGCAGAGGCAGTACCATGGGAAGGAATCGCTGTACCTTGTCACTTATCATTTTAAAATTGGTCAACCACCAACTTGTGAGAGGCAAGGGCCAGCTAATAAAAAAGCTAGAAACTAGGTGAATTTGCCCCATATATGTATGTGTAGCAGCTGGTAAAATGGGGAAGACACTTAGGTTGGTGTGGGGAGTGGAACTGGCTCTTCCCAGAAAAGTATGTATGTCTTCATGTAGTTTTAGGCATCAGAGGCTGTATATATTGTGCTAGTATGGGACCAGCTCTGTGTGTGTGTGAATTTCCACTCCCTGCTGCTATCCACTGGAATCCAAAAGGGCTTGGCTCTGCTCATCTGAGTAAGGACTTTTATTGCTTGGTGCCTCATTTCTTTCAGAGGTTGACCCCAGGATGGACACTCCAGCATAGTCAGAGAGAAATTAAAATCTCTAGGTACATGATTTGGGATCTGAAATTCACTAAGAAAGCCTTATAGTGTCATCACCAGATAAATACTAAAAAAATCTTGATTTCTCTGACTTAAAATTTGGCCTTGCCACATTACAGGTGAAAACAGCTGGAATTTGTCAGGGCAACTGTTTGGGAACCACATATCTCGATCTCAGGGATTTCTCTCTGAAATCTCAATACAAATACTCAAATGGCAGTATTTAATTAACATTTAACATGTTTTTTCTGACCTCACTTTGTTACAAACTATATATTTTTATCTAGAAATAAAGGAGAAAATTACTCACCTCATTCTCTCTGTCAGCATCTGCAATACAAACAGAATCACAAAAGATAAAATAAAAACCACTGTTGATGAACATTCAGTTTGCAACTGGGATGATTTCGTTAGTACCAGCCCTTCCAGCAACACCAAGCCTCTTACCTCCTTGAAAGTAAATACTGGCATAGTTTTTCAGTGTTTAATAAGATACAGGTGTCAGAACCTATTAAACAAGTGGACCTTATTTATTGTTTACCTTAGAAATCTGTGTCAGCAACTAGAACAGCCTTTGTTGTGGGAAGGAATGAAGGCTATTATTGCCCTTTTCACCAGAAAAAGATTGAAGACCCAGGAGTCAATATTATGTTCAATGGCCAGACTGTTTAGGATGAAATAGTTATTGAGCATAACTGGGTTTTAATTCCCAGGTTTATATAAAAAAAAAATCGTATGTGGCTGTAAGCAAATCACATGGTCTTTTTATACTTTGATTTTCTGTCAGTAATGAGGATAACATCTTCATTAAAATATAATGCTAAATGTATATAATAATGATAATGCAATTCGGATCATAGTAGCACTTTAAAAAGCGTGTTCCCTTGCCAGTCAGTATGGATTCTAAACTATTTGGCAGAATGATTGGCTCCTATTTTGTATACGCACGGCATCTAATATAATGGAGCCCAGTTCTCAGGTGGGGCTTCAAAAAGCTCCTTCAAAACAATGATAATTACGCCTCTCAGAAAGTAATCAAGTAACATTGGCATGTCTCCATTATGGTGACACATTTGTTACTTTCTTCAGGAATGTATTTTGTTCTTCTCCTGTCCTGGAATTTGGGAGTGAATGCAAAAAAGATATGGCTTAGAAAATATTGATCCATAAAGTTTTAATGCAGAGAAGATAAACTAGAAAGTTCAAGGAAGGGATTTGCTGGAATTCTTATGAAAGCAATATTTATTTATTTTTCTGCAGTTAATGAAACACTGTTTGAAAGAACAGTTTCCATCAAAAGAACACCGTTTCATTGAAATTGACATTTTTCATAAGAATTTTGATTTTGAGATAATTTTCAAAGCAAACTTTACAGAGCTATTCAAAATGGAAGAAGATTATTTTGTTTCATAGCTTTGGTTTTGTTTTAATGTTTTCATTGTTTTGCTTCTTTAATATTCATAATGCTATTGAACTGCTATACTGCTAGCAGAGAAGATTTGGACTCTCCTCTGTCAGTTATTCTAAATGTACTTATTTTTCTATATCTTTCTTTTTTTCATTGCAAGTTTTTGTTTAAAAAATTATCAAATGAAGGCTCAAGAAATTCCTCCCAGCTCACTAAAGCAACCTGTGCCTCACAGGTGTCTCCAGCCTGGCAAATTAACATCATAAAGAGGTTATTCACAGCCATATTATGTGGCCTGTGCATAGTCAACTGTCTCCTACTTGGTCAGTTTGGCAGAAGGACCTCATCAGCCGCAAACTCCCTGCTCAGATGGAAGAAAAAACTAAGTAGTTAAACCCCTGCTTTAATTCTGAGGCTTCGCAGTTCACTTTTTAGTTACAATGCAGAATGCAGCTCTGATTCACACCACCATCAAGGAACAGGTTTCATCAACTCAAATTGGCAACTGTAAAGCTGGTGCAATATTGCTTGCTAAACAGTGCACAAGCATAAAATGTCACTTGCTTTCTGACACCTAAGTCCAGCAACCGTTGGTTACTATCCCAGCAGACTGAGAAGCTTGCAGAGTTTGAACTATAATATATCAAGAAGCAAAAAAGGTTACTCACTTGCTAAACAGAGAACTGCCAGGGTAAGGAGCACAAAGACGCCTGTTATTTTCATGGCACACATGGTTTCTTGACCCGTTTCACAGCCAATCTGTGCTCTTAAGTATTCCAGTACGCTTAGCTTGAATGTGTATTCGTGTATGTGTGAGCAGATATATATATACACACACACAAAGAGCAGGAACCCTGGTGATGAAATCCCCCTTGTAGAGAAGGTAATTAGAAGAAGGTGTTGCCCATGGGTAGTGTCAATAAGAATGTCTTCTGTACAACATGAAGGTCATAAGTAGAGGGCAAAGATGAGTGTCACAGCATGGATTGTGTTGATAAAGAAGATGTATTGTACTTTGGCTAATCTCCTTGCCTAATTAACTGTTCCATCTCCATTAGCGTGCTCAAGGAGTGACTCAGCAAGGTGGTTACTTATTGCTATTCTGTTATCACCATGTTGACCCTTAGAGCTAAACATAATTTCCAGGGGAAAAAAATAGTTCTTACTGAGTGTGTTCCAAAAGATTCATACCAGTAGACCTGAAATGCTTAATTCCTATTCTCTTGAAATTTTGGAGACCCTTGTCACTAGCTGCGGTTAGAGGTGATGCTGGTTAGTACGGCCATGCGCTGAGCCCTTTCAGACTGCTCTATGGTACTAGTTGCTGCTGGGAAAAGTCTGTGTTTCACATGAATCCCCTCACTGTCACACACAGCCCAGAAGATCCTCCCATCTTTCAGTGTTCTTCTGACTTTAAAGTTCCACCAGTTTAGAGATCAGAAATGATGCTTTGTGATGGAGCAAAGAAACTGCGTTGCACTGCCTAGCAAAGAGAAGTGATGAGTTCACAGCCATTGTGCACCCTGCCGAGTTACTGCCTAGTTTGCTGTCATGGACATATGGAGAAGATTCCTCTGCCTGCCTATCTTCTCCTTTGTGGCTATTTCCAGCACAATAGGTATCATATCATGTGGGATTCTTTAAACAAATTCAAAATACCAGTGTGTTAGTGACTTAATCAATAGGCATAATTTTCTGGCTTTTATAATACAGACCAGTAGAGCCACAGTGGGAAACTCAGATCTGATTTTCATAAAGTTCAAAGTAATGTGGAGTTTTGAGCCTATAAGTTTTGTTTGAACCCATCCTTCCAAATTGCCTTCACTTCAGCGATTTGCAATGTAGATGTGCAAATTGTCTCAATATGAAAGATCCCTGCACACCATTACAATTCACAGTATTTCAGTGATCATCTTCCCTACATTGCAAGGTAGCCTGGGGCTTTTTCCCCCGTGCAGGATTTAGGGTCGTACATGCTGATTTCACTAAGACGGAGGGACTGAAAGTTCTTACAGAAGAGCTTGTAATAGGCCAAGTAGACTTTGGGCCCCACTAACGCACATGTCTCTCAGAGGACTGAAAGTTCTTATAGAAAAGGTTGTATTAGGTCAAATAGGCCTTGGGCCCCACTAACTCATCCCAAGAGGGATATGATCATCTTGTTTTTAAAGATTGTCGGTAATGAATAAACAATTAATTTCTCATCACTTAATGGGACAAAAAAAAATAGATGCCATCAAATTCCAGTTCCGGGATAGGTAAAGATCTGGTTTGAGCTAGAGGCCTGTAGATTATTTTTTTTCACATGCCCATACTTCAATGATTTGATTTTCAGTTTGTCATTGTTCTTAACTTGGACATCTGTGTGTGTTCCTGTGATGTGGAGATCACAAAAGACAGGCTGTGATTTAAATTGGGGTTGGTCTGGATTCTGCTGCTTTGGGATGTCAGTGAAATTTTTGTTCTGGAAAGCCCAAAACTTTTCTGAAGAGCCTGGCATAGTGCATGTATAAACTCCTGGAGAATATTCAGGACATGTTCATTGGTTGATGGACAATTACCAACATTAGGCAACAAGAGCAAACCCAAAACAACCCAGAAGGTACTCCTAGTCTGAATGGTTTTGAGCAAACAAGACTTTTGAGGATATCTTGAAACTGTAAAACTGCAGCTTGACAGAACACGCAGGTTCCTTGACACTGGTATGAGGAAATCTGCCACTTTGGTTACACTCTCTTGCCTAATATGGTGCTACAGAGTGTACTGCTTAATGCAACCTCAGTATCCATCCCATCCCTCTAGCAGAAGAATATAAATATCTGTTTGCAGTCTACTGAGTTGATGTAGGAAGATTTTCTGAGGACTTCTGTAGAAAGGAAGAGAGGGCTTTCGGAGGTGGGAGGCAGCTAATGAGGGAGGCAGATTTTGGATCAGATTTTTCTTAGCATTTGAAAATTACCTTGCTATTGAAAGGATTCCTGATGCTTATTCTATGCCTCATAGCAGGAAAGCCATGGTGTGAATGTTTTCTTTCTGGTAATGTTTAGGTGCTTTGATTAGGGCTTTTGAAACAAATTAAGATTAATTTTCTAGGCAGTGGACCTTAAGCTTTGTAGGTGCGCCCAGACCACTCGGATAGGAGGGATACAGTTCTGATGAGAACTGTATGAGACATACTGTAGGGTGCGCAAATAGCAGCGCACTACAAGCAGGGCACAGCAGGGGGTCAGCCCAAGTTCTGGAGATGTTTGCATCTTCAAATATCAAAGCTGTCTTGAAGGTTTGAGAAGAAAAATGCCATATACAGAAAGCAACAGTCTGTTTCACTTTCTGCGGTGAGGTAATACTCATATGCAAAATCTCAAAATGAGAGTCAGTAAAAAGTAATGCCACAAAGCATTTATTGCAACTCCAGTTTAAAAGGATACCGAAGTATCTCTGTATTTATAGGCCTAGCTTTAAGAATGAGCAGAATTCACATTAGCCAGCTGGAGAAGATAAGTCACTGTTTGAGTGAAAAAATGCTTCATCTGAGGCGTCTTCCTGTCCAAACTTGCAGAGGCTTGTTGTTTGCCCTGGTAGTCTTCATACGGAGCTGGTCTGACAACCTGAGACCTGTCATCCTCAGGTAGGCCAAAGGTTCATCTAGGTCAGAGTGCCATCTTCAAGAACATTCAGTGGCAGATTGGGAGGAGAATAGAGCAGCTCTTCTCTTGGACAAGTTGAACATGAGTCAATGGTTTGCCCCCATGGTGAACAATGCGTACTGGGCTGTATTAGTAAGAATGTAATTATCAAGTTAAAAAAAAAATCATTGTTTCCTCCCTGTTCAGCACTTACGAGGCTGTGCCTGGAGTTCTGTGTACAGTTCTGGGCTCCCCAGCACAAGAAAGACACTGAAATACTGGATCAAATCCAGCAAAGGAACGTCAGGGTGTGTAGAGGAATGAAGTGCATGCCATTGAGAAGTGGTTTGTTCAGTTTGAAGAAAGAAGGCAAAGTCTCATTGTTGTCTTCAGCTAGTTTGTAGGGGCGTACAGAAGACAAGAGCCAACCTCTTCTTGGAGGTGCAGAGTGAAAGGAAGAGAGAGAATAGTGCAAATTGCAGCAAGAGAAATTCTAATTAGATGTGAGGAAAACACATTTCACAATGCGAGTAGTCAAACATTGGAACAGGTTGCCCAGAGGGATCATTGGAGATATTAAAAAATGGATCTGTTCTAAACCGTCCATGGTCTGGTGGTGGGGTGGGGATGTGGGGGACCAGGTGACCTACGGTCGTCCATTCCAACCTGGACTGATTCTGTGATTCTTGTAGGTGAATGTCAACTGTTGCTGGCAGTCAGCTCCTTAGGGACTTCGTGGCATGTTATATCTGTCCTTGTGAGTTAACACTTCTAGATTTGACAAAGCAGACACGGACAACAGAGTAGCATGTTGGATTGATTTTAGCTACTTGAAAAAAATGTTTGTTGAAAACCAAGCATTCAGATCTGTTTAGTAATAGCTGCTTCCCAGAGTTGCATAAGTCCTCATTACCATACCTAAAACTAATTCTGAAATTTATGGCAAATACTCTACTTGAATTGAAAAATTGTGAGTGAAATTTTAGCCTCAACAGCAAACTCATACTTGTTACTATTGAGCTGGGAGGTACTGTTTGAATATGTGTATGTTAATTGTGTGCCTATGATATTTTTCTACTTTTATCATTGTACCTCATCTTTTCCCAACTTCTTTCCTCTCCAGGTTGTTATTTTGAGGAAGAAAAATCAATTACTTGGTGAACAAATGTTTATTCACTTTAATGGGCCTGTTACATCTGATAAAATATTAGTTCATATTTTTCTGAGTGTGAGAACATTTGTCACAGTTATTGATACATTGCGTTTATTTTTGGAGCGCCGAGTGGAGCACAAACGTGATGCCAAATATGCTGCTGCAGCACATCGTTAGTTAAGTGCCTGCTTTATTCTGCACGAGAGGATGTTATCTGGCTGTGTTCCAGAAAGCATTGATATGCATTCATATGATGGAGTGCCTCACATTGAGGACATCAACAGTGCTGAAAAAATGGCATAGCTAAAATGGACTAGCTAAAAGCCCTATTCTCACATACCATGTATATCTGGGAAGAATGTACAAGCCAAGATAGATATTGATATGGTCACGAGCAGGAATTCAGACCTCTTAGTGACTCCAGTGCATGTTTATATGCAACCCAGTACACAAGCTCCTTCAGTTTTGGTATGTGTGGGTGGTTAGGGTTGTCCGCCCATGTGCAATTAATGCATCAGACTTTTAAAGTCTTGCTTAATGCAAGATTTGAGAACCAAGTGATGTATTACTTAAGGAATCAAGCTGTGCCAAAACATTTGGTATTTGCCTGAAGGAAGGTGAGTTTCCCATGTTCCACACCTTAAGAAAGATCAAAAGAGCCTGTCTTTAAAATTGCAAGTATCAAGCTGGGACAGATCCCAGCTGAACATTTCATATTATTTCAGAAAGTAAAAAAACCCCAACACCACAGCTCTCTGCAAAGGCTGTAGCTGACCTTTATTCTTTTTCTTTGCATCTTCTGCTGCCTTTAAGATAAATCATAGGGCTGTGATATCTACTATTGTGCAACTACCTTGTGAATCCTTTGAGTTACTTAGTGTCATGCCATTGATGTTTCTGAATGACTTGATTCTTCAGAGATATATGCAAAACAGGCATTAACATCTTAACACTTAGTACTGAATGAACTGGACAGTGAGCATTGAATAGGACTTATTTTAAATTGCCTTCTATTTTGTATTTTAAGATGTAATTTCCAGGTGTTTAGCACTTCGAAGTTCTGTCACACTGAAGTCAGTCAAACTGACATATTTGAGGAAAGGTTTCTTTTCAGGATTTTTATGTCTGAGAACAAGGTTAGAGGACATACATTGGTTTTGCCTCTATTAAAAATGTTATAACTTTTATAAAAGAGAAGCTACAACTTATGAAGAAGAGGGATAGGGTGAAGGGCAACATGGAAGGAGTAGTGGATATGAAGCATTTGACCTGAAGTCTGTGTTCTTTCACAGAACCCTAATTAGACATAAGCCTTTTTTTTTTTTCCTTTTGCTGTTAGCAAGTGCCTGCTTACCCGTCTCTAATGGCTGAAGCACTTAGAGGACAGCAAGCTGCTACTGCAATCTATTAGTGCCTCATTAAATACACCAACTATTTGTAAAGCATTGTTTAAGATGAGGAGGGAATTAGTCAGTCTCTGTTCAGTGCAGCTTTAGGGAGGTGCGGCAGGCAAACCTAAAGCCACTTGTTGCATGATGAGTAGCAGTAGAAGGCTGGAGGATCTGCCCCTTCCCAGAGAACGGTGGGTCACTGAGTACCACATGGGCCCAGTAGAAGACCTATTATGTGTCTATATGATTAAAGACTCTCATACCATCGGGGCCTCAGGAATAAATTTCGTTCTATCATTTTATTTCAGAAGCTTTGATTTTGCAATCTAGTTTTGGGGGGGCAATTTTGTACCTTGTGCAGCCTGATTGAGTTTATGCATTGTGACGTTTACAAGAAGGTTTCCAGATTATTTGCAATGCAACAAGGATTTAGGCATTGGAACGGGCTCCCCAGGGAGGTGGTGGATTCACCATCCCTGGAGGTGTTCAAAAACGTTTAGACGTGGTGCTTCGAGACATGGTTTAGTGGGTTTAGTGGGCATGGTGGCATCAGGTACACAGTTGGACTTGATGATCTTTGAGGTCTCTTCCAACTATAATGATTCTATGATTCTAAGGAGAGGAATTAAGAAAGAGAAGTACAAGGATTAACTGACATATCAATTATTATTTTCTTGACTGGATGGAGCATGTTAGGAAATGATCTCCAGTGTATGGAGCCATCATAGTGAATATTTGTGCTGTGATATGAGCAACTTTTTATACAAGCTAGAGAGTTCCTCAGAGATGGGAGGCTGTCTGACAATTTCTAGAGCAGATAGTCAGAGGCACTTGGATCCATATGAGGCCCAGGAAATGGATAATCAAGGATTGAAGCCAACTTTATGTCTTAGAGAGCAGCCATCTCACAATTAACTTGATTTCTGCAGAAAACAGGGCTAGTTTCAAGCTGTGCTTCGTTATTTTTCTGAAGAATCTTAGACAATGACTTTCTTCACTACCGGCTCCTCATTACCTCATGATCTATGCCAGAAAAACTTCCTGTAGGGAGGCTTAACTCACCTTACGGGATCATGGCACAGAAAGGCAAATTCCTCTAAAGGTAGTAGATCAGTAAAGTCTTTGTCAGGACACTTGTGAATTGAGCCTGAGTATTTCTGAGAGTGAAAACTAGGCTGGATCAAAGTTAATGAGAGGTTTCAATGATTGGTTTCAATGGTGCCAGGGTTTCAACCCAGGTATCTGAAGAACAGGAAGGTGCTACTAATTCTGAACACTGTACCAAAAGTATTAGAGAGAAACCTCAAAGACCTCAAGATACGTGTCAGCCTGGTTTCAGTTGCAAACCTCCTGACCACAAAGGCCATTGAATGTCAATGTACTCTTAGACTGCAAAAGAAACAATCACTTCTTAGCCTGCAGAAGCAGGTTTAGAAGAGACTGCTGTCTAACAGGCATCACTTTTCTGTGTTGTCCTGGACAGTTTTACAGGCTATGAATTTGGTAGTGTTAATCAGTAATACTACTTCTCCCTACAGACACTGCCTCAGAAGTAGTGTATAATATTCTGGTAGGAAAGGGAAGAGTGATATTAGCCCTTCTTCTTAAAGATCACAAGTAACCCAAATTTTCTTGTTTTCAGATGTATTTTTTATTAGCTCCTTTGTAAAACAAGCGCAGTAAATTGCATTTATAGCAGAAATAAGATGCATATACTTAATATTAATAAATACTAACAGCACTTGTAGCTAGATTATCAACAATTTTCTGAAATATCAGGTATTTCCCACATTTCAATGTTTAAATATCTTAAATTGCCACCCATTGCTAAGACTGCAAAAAAAAGGAAGCATGGTCACCATGGAAGTCTTTATTTAACTTCAGTGATTCTGTTTCAGGGATAAAGGCCTAAATCCTCAAAGATATTTTAATGTATTTTGCTGTCCTGAAAGTCAGGACTTAGATGGTTTGACAAAAATGTACAGGCTTCGACACATGATTCAGCTTCTTTCCAGACCTGGGGACTTACACTGTAAGCAGTACAGAACCAGGACTTCAGTTTTTTTTCCTAAGGTTCTGTGAAGACACCTAGTGCATGTTGCACTAGTAGGGAAATACTTTCAAAATGAACTATAAAAATCTGTATTCTAAAACTCTAACTTTCATTAGATGCTTACCATCCACATATAAACCCAGTTACCAATTGCTCTCTGACATATCAGATACACTGCAATTAAACTTTTAAGTCATTTAAGCTGCCTTGGTTTCAGTTGCAGACTCCTGACTACTGTGCCCTGTGGTTTTGCCTGCGGCACAGCAGGTCTGAATTGATTTTATTGTCAGAAAGCTCCACCGCAAGAGATGCACTGGGGACCCAAGGGTCACTGAATAAAAGCGCCTCTTATGATCACAAGCATGGAAGAAAGGGAGTTTTGGTTAGGAGGCAGCATATTCAGCTACTGGCTCCCATTTCCTTTCATGTTCATGAGAGGTGGCAACCACAGCACCTGAAAGCTGCCTGCACACCAGCACTCCCATTGCTTCCACTGCAGCTTGGGTTCAGCTGCAAGTGTAGGGCTTTCAGAGTGGTTGATCGCCCATGCAACAACCATTGGCAGTGTTCACCAGCTGGGCATCCACCTGATGTGAGCACAGACACCTGACGAAATGCAGCAGCTAACATTTCTAGGACCCTGAACTTGCAATTCCTTCTTTTACTAAAACATCTGTCATCAAACTGGACGATGAGGATGGCCTTCATACATGGCACGTAGCTGCCTCATGCAGCCAAGGCTTTCTATACATGTTTCAACAACATAAATAAAAATAAATAATTAAATAATCAAATAATTAAACAGTTAAACAATGGAGTACTAAACCAGTTCTTTCAGTAAGTTACTTTCCAAATAAATTAACACATGAAACAGTTTGAATAGCAACTGCCATCATCTGGCATTGCAAGTCATGTCAAGTAAATAAATAATAATAAATAAATAAATAAATAAATAAGTGCAATACAACAATATGCAGAACCTACAATAAAAGCTGACAGCAATGTATCAAAATACTACACATGTTAATATAACATGATGTATGCTAAAGGTGTTACTCAAATCTGGGGAATTTAAAAGAGCTGCCAAAATCAGGACCATAGTAATCTATCACAAAAAAGATGTGGTATGGCTTCTTAATAATTTCAAATGCAGATTTTCCTTCTAATTATGCTTATGTTCTTGTGCTAGTTCATTCTTTGCTTTCTTTAGGAGCATTCTCCTAGAAACTCTTACTGGTTATCTGTAAAATAAGAGAAAGAAAATTTACATAAGAATTATTTTTGTTTTCCTCGGACCTAGATTTTTAGTCCATTTGTCAATAAAGCTTTGCTGGTCTGAGCCATCTAGTGAAATGCCACCACTCCATTTCTCTGAAGGACTCAGGACCATACAATGCAAGGCTCAGACGTTCCCGTGTCTGATGGGGATTAGGGATTCAGCTTCAACTGATGAGAATTAGGCACCTGTCCAGCTACGGCCCTTTTGAACATTTCCTTCAGTTCCCATTGGTATCTATAAATGCCCCTGTACCAATGAAGACTGGATCCACAGAACAGCATGATCTCTTTTCAAGTGTTTCTATAGGGCTACAAGTTTTCAACAGTGTGACTCAGGAAAGAGCAGAGGTCAGAGAGATTTGCATCTACATCTAACTGAAAAAAAAACCCACCTCAAAATTACAAAAGAGAAGAGAGGAAGAAGATTAAAAAATCTGCATAGTTCTTTTTGGTGTTGATCTGAAGGAGGCTATTTCCATATTTAAAAATATGTTCTTCTCTGGAAAGCTAGGCTGAGAGTAATTTAGAGCTGTCAGAGAACAGGAATCAATTCACAGAATAAGAAAACAGCCATTCATAGGACTGGCAGAAGCTGCTAATAGCTTTTCTTTCTAATAGCAAATATCTTCTCTCTCTCTCTCTCACTCCCTTTCTCATTTTACAGGTAAAACTTGGCTAGATATGGATTGTCTGCTGTATTTGGATGCCCAACACTGATTCATAACCTATCAATGAACAGAAAGGATAAAAATCAGCATGCGTTACAGTAGCAATGGCCAAATGCTCCTGTATTTCTTAAAGAATATTTTATAATTGCCTAGTCAGGTAGAACCCTACCCATGTCCACGAACCTACATCCATTGTTTCCTCTCTGATTTAAATGGATTCTAATTGTTTCCTCAATTATTTTTTTTAAAGAGAATCATTGTTTAGACAGCCTAGTACATTTATATGTTTATTCTCTTACAGATATTTAATGAAAAGATGTTCAGGAGATGAAAATAGCTATTAGGAAATGTGAAATAAATGAGTATTTCAGAAGCAGAAGAGATTCATAGACTCCTTACTCTCCTAGGTAAGGAATCAGCCCTGCTCCTCCAGTAGCAGGCTCTTTAAGTCTTACCTGCAAAGTGAAGACCACTCACTCCAGGATGAGTTGTAATAGCGATCCCTGGCCTGCACAGAGATCTTGTCTTTTGGCCCAGTTGTTGGAATCTGAATAGACTGCTCATCAGCATCATACACCTATGAAGAGGGCACAGCTCCATCAGCAGGTTGTAAAGGTCAAGCAGAACATACAATAAAGTGCCAAACAGATTGCAACAAGCACATGTAACTCAAAAAACCCGCAGGGAGTCTGTGGTTTCAAAAGTACCTCTCTTCACCCAGAGATACCAAAGTCACGAGGACTTGTGAGACCTTGAGCCTCAGTAGAAACAAACTAAGAGGCCCACTTTCTACCGAAGTTAGTGTTGTAAAGTGGTCCAAACCCCAAACTGAAACAGTCATTAAACCAAAGGGTTTATTTGTTTATCTGGGTTTTTCTCTTTTTTCTTCTTCTCCCAGAGGGGGAACCCTAAAAGACAGAAGCTGCTGCTTTTCAGTATCGTTGAAATTTCCACTGAGGACCCGTGGCTGACAGAAGCAGCGCTCCGTAGACCTGCCAGTTTCTCCACCTGAGGGATGGTGCAAGACACCGCTACTGAAACCAAGGAGTCAGCACTGGGGGAATGGCCCCATCTGCTGGTACAGGCTTCCTTGGTTTTTTCACCCAGAAAAAGACATCCTCTAGTGTCTCTGTTTTAATCAGTTGACAAACTGCAATGATCATTACGTTTGTTTACTTTTCTGATTGCCGGACCAAGGAAGAGCAGCACTGCGGTTAAGGATCTGCACTGTGGTCAACGGGTTTGTGTATTTCTTTCCAGCTCTGCTGCTGCTTTCTTTGCCAACTGAGGCAAATTGCCATACGGCTCTCGTGTACCCTTTAGCGTAACCATGAGCAATAGCAAAGGAAGCAAAACCATTTTGTGATTTAAAGCTAATACAGAGTAGCAATGTTTAGTTAACAATTAACTAATGACTGGAAAATGAATGGCAAAGACTGTCGTCTTCGGCTGTCTCCACAGAAATGCTACCAAATGAGTCATTGATTCCTTATTTGCCAATTCACCTGTAAAGAAAGCCTGAGCTACCCAGGTACAAACAACGTACAAGGAAATCAGTGCAGCAGATCCTAGACTTCTTGATTTGGAAATTGGGATTTTCCCACATTAGGACCCACACAGCCTGATAATGAATTAGTAAATACTTTTCTCATGCTAGCACAGCTATGCAATGCTGGGCATGATTTTATCTCCCCAGATACATCAGGGTTGCATACACCCTCGACTGTGTTGTTTGGATCTTACTGCTCATAGAATTGGGAAGGAGGTCTTTTTCTGCCAAGACAGAATCTTGTCTCATTTGGGTCTCGGCACCCTTTTTTTTTTTTTCATTTTAGTCCATGAGTCTTGCATACTAAGCTTATATTATTTATACTGCCTGTTCAAGCAAGAAAATTGTGTTTCAAATGTTGTATTTCTACCTGGCTTTTGTGTTTCTTTATACGTTCAACTTTGACCCTGAAAGTCAAAGGGAAGTAGGACTTTGGTGTGCTCCATGTTCTGGGATATGTCCAGCTCACTGTTCCATTTGTGGCCACATACTGACATTGGGGTGGGTCAGGTTTTACTGCAAGAGAAAATATAGAAGGAATTAATTTGCATTAGCAGCATCATATCAGATGTTGGTGTACTACTGTTGATAGGTTTATGGGAATCAGCTTTGGGAGCCTCCATGAGATTAACAGAGGAGTAGGCATGATGTGTAAGAACTGCCCTGTATACTTCTTACAGAAAATTAAGCTCATTCCCAGAGTCTCTCTGGGTAAGATGCTTCTTTTTTTTTTGCCTGGAGGGTTGCAGAGGGCTCTGTTGGACACAAAGGAATACCTTCAACACCTGCTGACCATTAGGGCATTTAGTAAAACATCTGTTTCTTTAGAATGCTGCTTCATTTTCCTGCGCCCTGTTGCATCATGGTCACAACCAGTCCTCTTACTTCCTGTCAGTTTCTATTAACCTGCCCTGGACGCACATCTCTAAGAACAGATCAGGAGGGAAGCATACATAGTGTTAACCATTACCTGAGCAAATCTGCAGTTCTCAGAGAAGAGCCTGCTGGGTTATTGATTATTCCCTGACTTCTCCCACATACCCCTTCCAAAACATGCCCATCTAGTAAAGCAGGCTACAGAAACTGCTGGGAGATGTCGGGGTGAGAGGGTTGGAGGTCACAAGCTAGGGATATGTTGCTTCTTCACTTCCTCATCCTCTTCTGGACTGCTGCTATGATTTGTTTTCCCCTGTTCCTGTAACTGGGGGCTTGATACAGATTTACAGTAGAATAGGGCAGGGATTCCCAAGCGTCATTTGATCAGCTGCAAGAATAAAGCTAAGGATTAATCATGATTCCTGGTCTACTCACTGATATCTCTGATGAAGAAGCTGCTAGTGTAGTTCTCATATTCCACCTCGTCAATGACCTCCAGGAACATCTCAATTGGCTGATGCTCTTCAGCAAACGGACAGTAGTTTTCTTTCTGGCACTGGACTGTGTATTCAGTCACTGATTTATCAGTGTGAGCTACAGGGCTGCTGCAGGTTACGTCTTCTTGAGAGCTGAATACAGAACAGAGAAAAGTGCTGGAAATACTGGTTGGTTCTGAGAATTTGTTGCCGCAATGATAACATGCACTTGGTAAGGTAATGTTTTGATGTATCATTTTACGGCTGCACTTCAACAGCTGCAGAAACAGTTCAGTGGGAGTTCTTACATTTTTAGTGCTGCATTACATATGAATGTAAAATCACAAAAGCCCCCCAGCCTTAGCAGAAGGAATTAGTGTTTAAACCTAAAACAAGATATCTCATTTATTACCACTGTCCCATGACAGGCTCTAGTACCTTACTTTGTTCCTTAGCCCTTTCCAAAACCTTGCTGGAAGAAATAAGGGAAGGTTAAAATATATCCATTGGGAAATAAATAACAAAAGCCATCTATAAAGTTCTCCCTGAATCTGGTTCTATTTTTGCATTCAGCAAAATAAAACATTTTGCAGTTGTTTCTTCTTCAACAAACTGAAGTGACCTTTGCTGAAGCACTCCATGTTTTGGAGAAACCCCCAAGAGTAGTGGGAGGCAGGAAATCCCCACAAGGTTCCCCTCACGTATTTCCCTCGCAGGTTTCTGCAGTGTTCCTCAACAGAGACTTGTCAGTGGACATGTGGCTTTTGCAGTGGGCGCAGCCTCCCACTCCCTTAATTCCGCTGGATCTGCTGCGAAAGGACTCAGTGCTATGATTGTTTCTGCTTTTGGCTCAACTTCCTCTCTCTCTCCCCTGCATGAACTGTTTTTGCTATTGCTTAAGTTATTCTGTGGCTGTACTGTAGCAGTGGTAACAGTCCAGTGGGGGTTGTTCCATTTTCAAGTCTGCATTAATTTCTGAGCTACTTCCATGCCCTTATTAGTTAAGTTAGTCCCAGTGATGGCTCAAAACTTTTTGCAGATGTTCAGACTCTCAAAGTGGGATTCCTCACCTTCTACATGTCCTCAGCCTAAAATCCAGGATCTCCTACACAGAGTAGCACAAAGGGCTGTTCTGGCCTTACTATGAGGTTGTTAAGGAAAGTACAAGCTTTTACCCTTTTAGACTTCTGATTGTGAACTTCACATTTGGACTCTCATTTTCTGTCATCCATGAACATATGAAAATTCCAGAGTAGTTCTTTGCCTCACATTTTAAAAATGTCCTGTCTGGGTCTAGATGGAAAAAGAAAGAAAACATGATTTATTTACTCTTTTTGCCAAAATGGTCAAAGCAGAGAGAAAGCAGTAACTCAATAGACTCCCATCTGCTTTGGCAGGTGGTGGGTACACAGGCAGACACCTTCTCATCCTGCCCCTTGGGCAGCCACTTGTAGTTAAAAGCCATATAACCACAGTTGGTGGCTGAAGGCTGGTTTACATGGCACCACATTAACCACATCTGCGTGGCTATTGACAGGAGCTGGAGCATACCCAAGCTGTTGCAGATAGCTGTCCCTAAGAGATTTATATAGACAAATCCAGTGTTCCTTTCATGAAGAAACATTGCAGCTATTCAGTTGACAAATATCTGTATTTGCTACCCCACGCATGAGAGTGCACACAGTGGATAATCTCACATCTTCACACGCTGGGGCACTTGACGGGGAACGTTCCCAGAGTGAGAAGTGAATCAGGCCTCAGTATAGGCATGTGTTTCATTTCTGCTGCTCAGCGCTGCAGACTCTCAACAACTGTATATTGTACCCTGGATGTAGGTGGCTGGCAGACCAGCCTACTGCATCTGGTATGTGGGTCCAGGAGCCATGGAAAAAAGCCTTGGAAATTCCTAAGTTCCTAGCACTACAGTGAGGGACTGCAATATGAGACATAGATGACTGAGGTTCATGTAGAAAATGCAAAACATCACAGGTTTGTCCCAGTGGGTTAATCGTGAATGGAGAAGCCCAAATGACAGCACATAAAATCTAGGTCAGTCCCTGGTTCTGTCAAATCATGTAGCCCTGGTTTTGCAAACCCTCTCCTGAGTGCTGGGTCTGTGAGATGGAGGCAAAGCAAGCCAATTGCTCCCCCACCAGAAAAGCAGTGGTGTGGTATTGATGCTATCCTGCATTACATGTATTCCTACCATCACTCCATCCTATAGGTCTAGAGAGTCCAAAATTAATCCCATGGCAACTATTTCCTATACTGCTCATCAGCTGCACCATATACAGACCCAGAAAAGTAATCATTTGCCTTTTGCTGTCAGTAAAGCATTTGAAGAGGACCCACTTGAAAGTGGATATTTCTCATGCATTTCTCCAGAGAGCTCTCTCTGGTCCTCACAAAGTTCCAATGCACAAAGCTGAGCAAGGTACATCATGTCATCTTACGACCATACCTGTAAAGCTTTTCAGAATTGACCTTATCATTTGCCCGTTGAAGCCTATTTTAGTTATGAGGAAGAAATCATAGCTGACGATTTCATGGGTATTAGCTGTCAGACAGGTGTAGTTGCCAGCGTCTGGGAACTCTTTCACTTCGGCAATCAGAGTCTTTCCAGTTCCTTTCAGTTCAGTGCCCTTTTTCCAGTAAACTGGCAGTGCTTCATCAGATGTGTTACAGGTGAGCTCCACTCTTTTAGCTGGTGTCTCATCATTCCACTCTGATTCTATGACGTACACTGGACATTGCAGAGAAAGACATGTTAGCAGCTACTCATACTGAACAGTGTGAAGATTGAACTGAGCCCTTTTTTTTCAGCTCTGCTCTCTAGGAAAACTGCTGACCTGGAAATCTTTACTACAAGAGAGGTTCGACTTAGAAATTTACAGTGTTATCTAGAACCTGCTGATCAATAGGGATGACATTTTAATGGAGGAAGTGATTTTTTTTCCCCATGTTCCCTGAGAATCTTACAGTGGTTCATAGCCACGGGAAGCAGGCAGGTACCTTTATTTTAAAGGTGAGGATGCCAGGACACACTGAGTCCAGGTATTCCTCCTGCAAGTGGCCTGTGGCCTTTGCTTACAGAATGGCATGTAAAACCTCTACGTACTATGGTGCTTTGCTATGGTGCAAAGCTACGATGCTTTGCTGTCTTCAGCATCAAAGATCTGTGAGTGAGCAATGGGAAGGAGGGGAGCTCTGGGTAGGTGGTTTGTATTTGCCTGTAGCTGATACTGTTTTCCATTTTCTGCAGTGAACAGTCTGCACTCCTATCACCCTGGTCCCAGTGGAGCAATTACAAAAGAGACGGGGGACCACTGAGCTACAGCAGAGCTAAGCAGACTGCAACAGGGAGGTGTGGTCTTCTAAATGCCATCCAGTAACTCTGAAGTGCCCTGCTGGTCTACCAAGTTAAAGACACACTACATAACAAAACAACTTTGAATGATTCTATTAAGGAAACATTTTCTTTTCTCGGCTCTTTGCTGTGGTTGGCTGAAGAACTTCGCCTACACTTCTGTGTGGCAGCAGTTCTCAAATTTAACTGTCATTGCTCAGATATACTACTGCTGTCACAGGCTCCCCAACCATGTTCAGTGCCTCCTGAGACTCTTCTACATGCAAGAAGTGGCAAAAAATAGTTTCTTAGTGTGTCAACACCACAGCAAGCACTCAGCTCAGGAAATCAGAGTTCCAGTGAGCTCTAAGAGCTTTTCACCAGAGCATTTCACTACCAGAACGAGAGCTTTAAGACTTTACCATGAAGAAGATACAGTAAGAAATACATGTCAAAAGCTGAATCTAAAATGGCAGAAAATATGCAACTCCAGGAAGCTTGGAAGCTTACCAAACTGCTTGTGGATATTTGAAGCACAGGCAAGGTAAATCTTACAGACTTCAAACACAAAGTTCTCAATACTGACAAATATATTCGCAGTTTTCACCACCATGGTATTGCCCAGGGAACCCATAGGATAAATAAATTTTTAATGTAAAGATACAGGGGGAAAGTAATTTAATTACTTTTTACAAATAAACCACAAGCAGATTGAGAATGCTTTTCTCATGTTGATTAGGGTTCTTCTTTTTGGATAATCACATTAAAGACAGCCTGGATTATGGAGCTATACTGGCTGCATAAGAACAGCAAATCTGATTATCTGAATTTAGCACAATTTTCTGGTAAGTTATTAAAAAGATTTGCTTGTTTGTTTCTGACCCTGTATTTTTACAAATGTATTTACATTTAAGTTACTTACCAGAAAAGTTGGATAAACTATTTCTAGATTTTAGGTTTCACTGTGAAATATTCTTTTCGACAATTAATTCTTCACTTGCTTGTTTGTGGGCTGGTGCCTAAGTCACAAGATACTGTTTCTGCTTCCAGACTGCATGACTGAAACTTTTGAAACAAGAGAACCAGGGAATAGGAAATAAGACAGTTTCTAATGCAAATATTCAGGGTGGCTGTTGTACAACATTTTAGGAATTCTAAATATTTCTTCCATTAATAGCAATTAGTTGGTCAGTTATTCACAAACAAATAGGAAGAACCTTGGCCTAAGGTACTATAGTTAACAAATTCTGTGCTTATGGACACAAGTATAATTCTGAAAGACCCTCGTGTCCTACCGTCAGCTGCAGTTCTCAGTAAGTGACGACTGCTTACCATTTTCCCTCAGTTTCCACTGCGCTTCCAGAAGGGCAACAAATGAAAATAATGAAAGTAAGGCAAATAGTATTTTGAAAAAAAAAAATTACTAATCTTCATTGAGGATTGTTGAGTATGTACTGAAATTGAGCTCGATGCTGGACAGGATAATAAGACAGTCAGTTCCAGTGAACTAAGAAACATTCTCTCATTCTAAGAACTCTTAGACTACATAAAAATTGAATATCAAGTTTGTACTGGAGCTCAAGCGAAGATTTTGATCTGCTTGTTATTCATACTGCAAACCAGTTTAGAGAAGAAATCATGGAACTTGGATGAAATTGTTGTGTGCATAGGTCTTATATGGTCAGGAGCTCAGAAGCATTCCCACATCCCTCAGTTAAACATTCCTCGTGCAAGAGAAGTCCTGCTGATGCCAGTGAGGCTAGTTGCATGAACAAGGCATTGGACTAAAGGATCAATGGACATTAAATTCCAGTCACACAAAGCGTATAAATATATTTCTTGGTTTAAGCATCTCAGTAGTCCTATTAAAACAAAGGATTGTGAATAAAATTAAGGACCTGCTGAAGTGTTTTGCTGAACTGCAGTCTTCACCATCTCTGTGGGAACAAGTGACAGCAGTGTCAACAATGCAGTGTAGAGCTAGCGTCAATACTGACACTTGCCTAACTGGTACTAGTTCTAGTAGCCACCTGAAGTTGCACAGTCTAATTAATTTTGCAAGCGATTTCAGGCAAAGCTCCTACTGGATTCAATGCCACAGCTATATTTGCAGAAATGGCTGGATATGTATATCATTGCTGCTGTGTTCATTTGAGACATATATATATATATCTCACTTGAGAATATATAAGTATATAGCTGAATATACTGTATATACAATATATAAATGTATATTTGTCCTGAATTCAAAATACAGCTAGAGCTCTCCATGAAACAAAAAACATATTTGCCAAATATTGTAGTAACCACTGGGTGCATAAAAAACTTTAACAACAGTTATTCAGATACACTTTCACACCTTTTTCGACTGGAGATTAAGCCAAATGAATAGGAGTGTGACTTAGAAAAAGAGATTGGTGAATATATCTTTCAACGTCTATTCTGACTACAGTGGGAGCCTGAATGCACATGAAAAACTCAAAATTAAGTGGTTTGTGTTTTTTTTTTTTCTCTCCCAAACCAGTCTTTTTCAGTGAAAGGGGAGTAGTCCTCCTGATTTCTTCTCATGTGCTACAAAACATCTTCATTTGGGTTTATGGAGGAAGAGTATGTGTGTACCAAATGTGTTACTCACTGGCAGCTCCTGCTATTGTTAGCAGTCCTTAATCTTGATCAGAAGTCAGCTGTCTGTGGACCAATGCCAAGAAAGCGTGCCATCTGAGTTGGTACACTGCACAGCACAGCTATTAATGAGACCAGAAGCTACAAGTATAGTACCCAAAGAGTGTACCTAGGAGAGGAACCAGCTCACATTGCACCTGTACTCAGAGAGAGGCACGACCCTCAGTGAAAAGCCAGATACTATCACACAGCCGATCAGCAGTTTATTGCTTCAGTAAAAGGCAAACGTTCTTAGCTCTTGATGATTATCTACTACAGGCAGGATTATGTGTAATTTGCAAAAGAAAAATACATTTTGCAACTTTCTGAAAGATGCTCATTTCTTTCATTGTAACGTGGCATTCATCACTATGCTTTATAAAACCAGTATCTGAAATATCAACTAAAACTTAGAGAAGAAGGGTGTAAAACATGCCTTCTTTTCTGTGTCAACCTTTCATCAAAATTGAAACCTTGAAAACAGAAAGTTTTAGGGAGAAGCTTCACAATTCAGGTTTTTGATGAAAAAAGTTAACAATTTTAATGGAAAATCATTCAGTGTTTGAGAGGGGGCAGAACATCCCCTCCCCCTCATCTCAAAATTTTATTGAAAAATTAATCAGAAATAAACTTTAAAAAAAATTAATCAGAAATACTGTCCTGAGAAAAATGTCATGACAACTATTTAAATACACTTTTAAATACATAATTTTAAGTTTTCATTAGTTTCATCTGAAGCAGCTGGTACCAGACCTGTGTTGCCCCAGTGTTAGAGAAGAAAGGAATTCTCACCTTTTCCTGCGATGCCTGTTAGCTGAAGTTGCCAAGCAGGTTGGTTTTGTGATCTGAAGGAAGCAAAGTGCTGGCTGCCTTATAAATACTTCTAAACTCCGAAAGGAAAGGGATCCTCTGTTTCACCGCAATACCACAGAATTGCAACACGTGGCTTGAGTTCCTTTTTTACATAGTGGCAGAGCTAAAGCAAAAAAAAAAAAAGTTTGGGACTCCCAGGTAAACTTTAAAGAGGAAATGAGATTATGAGATTGTTACAATGACCTTTATGGCACGCCAGAGGCATTTCCTTTCCTGCTTGATTTTCTGTCTCTCTCATACTGCCTCTTCATCATCTGAGGAAGAGTAAATACAGACTAAATAAACTTCCAAAGCTATCTGATGGGAAATATATTATGAAGACAGAAAGAGAAAGTTAAATAAACTAAATCGATTTCTACCTGGTAAGCACGAAAGAGATAATTACATGAAATAAAATGCCAGTAACCACATCAATCATAAGCAAAGCTCAGGGAAAATTAATTTTTAATTGCTGTTTTAGAATTGTATTTATTCTAAAAAAAAAGACATAGGTTAACCAAAAAAATAAACAATTAGTTCTGGCTCAGAGATAAAAACCTGAAATTGTCACATTATTTTATGTTGCAGTTTTTTAAATAACCTCATTTTTTCTGTATAAACTGATGTTCCCTTTAGACCTGTACTCAAGCAAAAGAAAAGCCCCATACATAACATATACTTTGAATATGAGGAAAAAGTTTCTATTGACTTTTTTTATTATTTGTGAAATAATAGAAAACAATTCATTTTATTTGTCAGGCAAAGCAAAACTGACTTGTTCTTCTAGCCCTGTTCCAAACCTGAATAAGATGACTGAAAAGTTATAAGCAAGAAGAAATACATTGCTTATAAAAGCAAAAAAAAAAATGTTTGAAATTCAAGCTGACATGCTTTAGGAATTCATAAAGAGACACAACTCTATCCTGTGTGCTTTCTACTGACAGGAGTATTCCCACAGTCCAGAGATCAAAGCTATAACGTAGTAACCCAGCAACGAAAAGATGGTGCCTGTCCCTTCTGCTACACTCAATGGTCTTTCAGAAGTCCTTCACACAGATGAAACAACACAAGCATCTGCAGTATGTTGCATATTTGGTGCCCCCAAATATGGAAAGAACAGAAAACAAAAGGAGAAAGAACCCAAATTAGCAGTGAGATAAACTTATTATGAACTCCAGCAGTTCCCAGTGCGTGGGGTTCCTGTTTATTGTCACACATCTGGGAGGCAAACAGCAGAGAGGGTAGCACGCTGTAATTTGAAAGACAGTCATTTCAGGATTCTGGATTAACTGTGCTGAAAGCTTTACACAAATGTACGGGTAGCACGCTGTAATTTGAAAGACAGTCGTTTCAGGATTCTGGATTAACCTTGCTGAAAGCTTTACACAAATGTAGAGTATTGCCACTGGAATCCTTTTCTCTCCTTAGCCATCCTCTTCAAAGAAACACGGCTTGAGTAGGTTCACATACACCTTTGGCAGCTGAGCTTTAACTCCTCATCTCACAAAGCACGTAACTAGAGCATTGTAATCTCAGATGGGCCTAACAACTTCCCTGCTGAGGGTTCACATACACCTTTGGCAGCTGAGCTTTAACTCCTTCTGATCTCACAAAACATGTAACTAGAGCACTGTAATCTCAGATGGGCCTAACAACTTCCCTGCTGAGTCCAGTGAACCCAACCTGTTACTCAGACGACAGCCCCAGACTTCACTTTGCTAGAGCTCACAGCTGGAGCTGGGCGAGAGCAGAGCGAGAGGGCTGCAGGCTGTGAGCGCAGCTTTCTGTAGCAGGTTTGAAATGGTGGCTCTACCAGAGAGAAAAACTGCTCCCTTCACATACTGTACAGTGAACCTGGATCAAAGGGGTTTATTGATTTATTCATGACACAGAATTGACCAGCAACCAATGAACTATTTGATATCCATATCAGTAATAAAACAGGTAAGCCAGAGTACTGGACACTTCCAAAATGTTAGTTAATACCTACACATCTCCACTCTCCACTTATCCCAAAACCTCTAATCACCCCCTCCCACACATACACACAGTCTTAAACACACACAGAGAGAGGACATGTGGGTTATAAGCACGTGCACTGTCTTTGCATCTGGCTGGTGTTTGCCTTCCTCTCTTACGTGATCATTTGGGACAAATGTCCGTTCAGGCAGTTTTGGGTCCTCCATTCACATACACTGTTTATATTCCCACTCCTACCTTAACAGCTGTTGTTATCCGTCCATTTCGCCAAAGGCAGGCCATGCGGACACTGACACTTCTTCTGCCGTTGTTGTTTCACTGTTCAGAAAGAGAAAATCGCAGTCTGAGAAAGCATGTTGAAAAAGATGTGGCAGAATCAGCTGGGGCACAGGCAAGTGAAAAGTATTCAAACTGTTCCAGGTGACAAAATTGTCTCCTTCTGATCCTCGTCCCTGACTACCTTTGAAATGTACATCAGGAGGAGGCTGGACTGTGCACCATATTCCCATTCATCTGCTTCTCCTCCTGGGGGAAACCTTGTCAGAAGGGCAGGGAGGAAGCCTAAGTGAACAGTGACACCCCTTTCCCCTTGTAGTCTCAGCCTGTTCCAGTTGCATCCTCCAGGAAGCACTTACGGCAGCTCTCCCTTTGCAAATGAGAAAGAGTCCAGGCTGAATCAAGGTTAGGCAACAATTTGTTCCCATTTAAGACAATTTCCAATTTCCAAAATTCACTTCTGTTATAACACACAAGTTTGACAGCAAGCCAGCAATGACCAAGAAAACTTGAGAGCTGCATTCAGTCACTGAGCAGATAAATAAGGGCACAAGTAACTTTACATACATGTTACCTCCTTCTTTCTCAACCCATCTTAGCTTGCCTGCTTGCTTGCGTCAACCATGTGTT